GGAGGGGAAGGAGGGGGAGGAGGAGGGGAAGGAGGAGGAGGGGAAGGAGGAGGACGGGAAGGAGGAGGAGGAGGAGAAGAAGAAGAAGAAGACGAACAAGAAGAAGGAGGAGGAGAAGGAGGAGGAGGAGGAGGAGAAGAAGAAGAAGAAGAAGAAGAAGAAGAAGAAGAAGAAGAAGAAGAAGAAGAAGAAGAAGACGAAGAAGGAACACCTGCATGCCAACAGGAACAGCTGCAAACAAAGAAACAACTGCAAACCAGAAACAGCTGCGTAGCAGGCACAGATGCAAGGCAGGAACAGCTGCCCAAAATCCAGCCAGGAACAGCCCAAAATCGAACCAGGAACAGCTGCCCAAACTGCAACCAGGGACAGCTGCAAACCAGCTGTGTGCACTATGTGATTTGGACATTGGTTGACTTTGACAAAGGTAATACACTCTCTCTCAGAGTGTGATGAGACCAAAGTTCACAGACATACCTGCGAGCATGCAAGTTTCCGAACACTGGTTGATGGCGCTTTCAGACCTGCGGCTGCATATGGCTGGCCAAGCAGAGTACAGTCAGATGTTAGGCGAAAGAATGTTCATGTAAACAATCAACATCAAGCAACCCCCCCCCCCCCCCGCACACACACACACCACCCTTATGTTTGTCACTAAAACCCCAAAACGCCAAACCCAGGGTGAGGCAAAAAGGACCTAGTGAAGGAAAAGAAAAGAGACACAGACTGCTGGTAAAAATGGCAGACCATAAACACCTCACACTGAAACGGACTTTTAAAGAAACAAATTGGACCCCCCGCGGCGAGGCCACAGGCCAGAGGCGGGGATGAGATCAAACGCCGAGGAGGGCCATGTCACCGGGCGGGTGCCCCACATACACAAAAGAGAAAACAGACACCGGTGGTGTATGTTCCCATGCTCTACAGGAGGATTCATTCTCATGTTAAACGTGGAGAACATGGCTTTTGTGCATGTTGAGTGTCGTGGCGCAAAGACCCTGGCCCCGCTATTGGCCAAGAAAACCACAGCAAAAGAGAAATGAATCCTACTCTAGAACATGGAAAAGACCACTGCCGAACTTCTTTTTGTCTTTTGTGCATCTGGAGGGTCGTGGAGCAAGGTAGACAGTTACAAGAAAGAAAAAAAAAAAAAAAAAAAAAATGACGTGAAAAAAAAAAAAAAAAAAAATGACGTGCAAAAGAGAAATGAATCCTACTCTAGAACATGGAAAGATACACTGCCAAATGTTTTTTCGTCTTTTGTGCATGTGGAGGGTCGTGGAGCAAGGTAGAAAAAGACCGAAAAAAAGAAACAACATGTTTTTTGTCTTTTGTGCTCGTGGAGAGTAATGGGTGAGGATTTGAACGACCACTCTAGAACATGGAAAGATACACTGCCAAATGTTTTTTCGTCTTTTGTGCATGTGGACGGTCGTGGAGCAAGGTAGAAAAAGACCCAAAAAAAGAAACAACATGTTTTTTGTCTTTTGTGCTCGTGGAGAGTAATGGATGAGGATTTGAACGACCACTTCCAACATGCACAAACCAAGAAAAAGACAGAAAAAAACAGAGCACTGCAAGGCTTCACGGTGTATCCCTGCCTTGCTATGTATTTGTATTCTAATGTGAGCAAAAACAAGACGAGCACGTAGGAGTTTCTGTTGGGCCCGTGCCCCGTGTCCCGTGCCCCGCGTCCCGTGCCTTTTCCCAAAAGTGGAAGCCCGCCTGGCGGGAGCATTACGCCAGACCTGGCTTACATTTTTTTTTTCCTTTTCTTTTTTTTTTCAATTTGCACCATTTCCCGATTTATGTGTGTCATCCTTGTGCAGGGGCCATGGTAATCTTCTCTGTATCGTTCCAATTATAACGGATGTCCAGAAGGACACCGCGGCTTACATTTTAGTAAGAGCATAGAAAAAAAAAAGAAAAAAGAGGAGGGTGCAATGAACCCGGTCAGGAGGAGAGCAACTCGTCAATGTCAAAGTACAAGATGTCTAAACGCAAGTCAATGTCTCCAAGAATCATGAATGTGATCCGAAGCACAGAGTCTTGTAACCAAGGGACGAGGCTGATAGGAGGGAGATAAGTCTTAGAGGGTGGAAGAGAAGTATCCATCAATGTCATCGAAGATAGATCTCCCTCATGTCCCACTCCTCCTTCGGCCATCTCCCCTCTGTCCACGTCAGCGTACGGTATTCCAAAGACGCGCCTGGCGAGAACCGATCACAACGTACTGCCACGTAGGCACAGATCTCCCATGAAGATGTCACAGCAGCGCACAACGTTGACAGCAATAATCAGGTAAGCTTCCCTCTCTCTCTCACAACCAATCTCACAGCCCCGATCTCCCTCCTCGTCGATACTCCAATCTGTGTCGAAGACAATGTGGCTAGCGCCATGTCAGCAATCAAGATTCCAGCTGCCAAGAACAGAGAGGCGCCAGCAACGCAATACAGCAGCCTCGCATTGTCGTCACACACAATGCCACCGTCAAGCCAGCGTCCAGCCAGCATCCAGCCAGCGCCGTGCCAGCATCGAGCAGCAAGTGCAAGACTGAATGCCGGTCAGCAGGCGCTGGTCAACTTGTAGCTGACTCGAGGTTGACCAGCCTCTGGTCTGTCGAATACGACCGCCCAGATTGACCCATGGGCAATGGCCTGGATCTCTTACAGTTGCAGATTCCCACTTGGACTGAATTCTTGGCGGATTCCTGCAAACAACCAATGTGTGTGTCTGATTGGTGGCCTGGGCTGGGTCCGTATGGACTTTGACTCGTGAGCCTGAATTTCCGAGCTGCTGTTGACCTCTGACTTTCCATGGTCAACTGTCGCGCGTAGGGCCTCCGAAGCCCAAATTTAGGCCGTGTGTCGGGCACCCACAGCAGCAGGCCTCATATCAGGCAATTTCTGTCGCTCGGGCGTGGCCTTAGGCCCCTGTTATAGCCCTTAGACCCAAGTGTGGACGTGTGGCTCAAGACTATTTCATATTTTACATCGAGTTATTGCGAGGGCAACGGCCTTGAGATATCATAAAGGACAGATCTTTTTCCTAAAAAAAAAACTGCAAAACTGGGCGCAGCGCGACCGGGAGAGCTGCACCCCGCCGATCTCGCCGTCCGACTATGGAGGAGCGGGCAGGCGCAGACAACGCATGGCGACGAAGGGTGACGGGGAGCATCAGGAAGCGGAGAGACGCGGAGGAAGAGGATGCGGCACTTGGCGAGGAAGGGCGATGGGGAGTAGGAGCGAGTGGAGAGGCACGATGGAAGAGGATGCGGCCAGGGCATGTGACGAGCGGTGAAGGGGTGAAAGGAAGAGGGTTTAGGGCGGGGGGTTGTGGGGGTGGCTATGGTCGGTGTGTTAACCGCTTTCGTGGATTAAACCGACGTGCAAGGTTCGCTGTCGGAGTCGTCATCAGCTGCTGTGTTCCAAGGCACTCCTGAGGGTTCTCTTCTTGATGATATGTGAATGGGGCGGAATTTCGGAAGGAGCAACGGATTGGTGTTGGGATGAGGTCTTTTCTCTCCTCTTTTCTTCAACAGGGTGCTAACTGGATATGGACGGATGCTTGAACCCCCTATGGCGCCTTGCTAACGGGTTTGGTGAGGTGGAGCCACACTTTTTTCTGGTTTTCTTTTGGGAATCGGAAGATGGCCGTCAAAATTTTCGGTGCTAGCGTTGCTCAGAGCCTAGGTGCTAGTGATGGGAGGTGGTTCTCCTCCCCCGAAGATGCTGGGGTAGGGTTTGAGGGAGCTGTGGTGAGTTGGGGGCTGTTGAAGAAAAAGGGAAAGGGATTATTTGGTGGATTGTTGCTCTTATCGTTTCGTCCTGGATTAGTCTGGAGGTCATACTTAGGGCCGCCTTGTCTGGGTTGATGCTAATACTGATTACATTCGATAGGTTCCTCTCTTTCTCATGCTCTGAAAAGTAATTTTGTAATATTTCCGTCGTGTTGAAATTTCCTAAGGTTGCTCTAGGTTTTGATTATAAATCTTGTCAGATAAATCAATTGGAAATTTTCATAGTATTGTGCAAGGAACATGAATGTGGACGAAGCACTGGAATCCAGATTGCAAAATCACACTGAAGTCCAAGTAGTCAAAGCAAGAGCAGAAAGCACAATGAAACCGAGTAACCATCCATTTGCGAATGATACAGAAGAATCGTGAGTCAATGTCCAAGCCCAATCGGGCAACACCAACAGCATAACCCAATGTAGCTCTCTCTCTTGAATGGCGCCAG